TGAAAAAAAAGTAATAATCAAACCCTGGCATTTCAGCGCAACGGCCCCCCGCCGCCCATCCCCGTGTCCGCTCGTAGCTGAGGAGATAGCTGTCTGCTCCCGCTGGTCGCGTTTTTCTCAGCATGCCATGTCTTCACCTTTCCATGACATACATGTTTCAATAACGGCATACTTAAGAGAGTAAAGGGGTGACGTCGTATTACTCAGTGAATGAAATGTCAGTCATGGAGCCAGGAATTATCCTGCTTTGAAAGCATCAGTGATGCTGAACATATTTTATTATTGGTTATCTAGCAACCACTGAATGCACAGTCATTGCTAAAAGATCTGTTAACTGGAACAATAATACCAAGTATCCAAGGGAAAAAATCTGAAATATTCAAAGCATTATAGTAGTAGTGAAACAAATATTAACTTCCATGGACCCCTTGACAGTTTAATTAACCTGCAAATTAAGGACAAGAAGCCTGTTTTCCACTGTGCAGCTTAGTTGCCTGTCAGTACTGCTAAAATGCCAAAGCAGAAGAGAAGTAGGCTGAAGATGGCCACACCGTGAATAAAATTGTGTAGTTTAAACGTCGTTTGAAGTAGTTTGTTCACTCTGGGTGTAAGAGAGAGAGCAGCAACTCCTTGCTGTCCAATTTATTAGAGAGTATGTCTGTGTTTCTAGTGCAGATTTCTGAAACGTGTTTTTGTAGCAACCAGGATGTGGATGTCCAGAGGGGGAGTTAGAGAAAAGCAGCATTTCAGAGGTGAAAATGAAATCTCTTTTCAGCATCGGCCCCTGGTTTCTGTTCCAAGGTATACTTGCCATTAAGGATGCTCAGAAGTAGACTGAAGACCAGACGTGAAGTTTGTAGTGAGAGATAATACACTTGATTTGACAGATTGCTAGAAGCAGTGATTAGTTAAACAGAAAAGGGCTAGAAAAAGGTGCCAGATTGCATCATGCATTGGAAAAGGTGCTTGGCTTAACTATACTTGAGAGGAACATGGAAGGACTTTAACATGAATGTACCTGAATGTAGGTTATAGTGCAATAAAGTTAAAAATAACGAGAATATGGACCTTTCGGTTGTTGCAGGTGGTTTGTAATTGCAAGTGGGGGTACAGGCATGTGCAGGTATATCATCTTGATTTAAAACCCATGTGGCAGTTCAGACAAGCGTATGTGTAACACGACCCTTTGTGAATCAACATGCCTTATCTCTGTATATTGATGCCAGCTTCTTAGCAATATACCCTGCTAAAAACGGGACCTTGCAAAGTGCTCAGCGCAGTTTCCTCTCTGTTGAAAGCTTTCAGCTTCTCCTTTTGCCATTGACAACTTCTGCTGGCTCCCGGAAGGAATGGCAGGTATCTTTCCTCAGAGGAAGCTTCAGTCATTCTTCTCCTTTGCAGAAATAGTATTTATATACTTTATTATGGGAAGTTGTTAGATACTGATAGACATATCAAAAGGCATATGTATTTCCACCTCATACTTGCATATATACACATATAGTGGGAAAAGACACTAGCATCCATACGTGCAGACCCTGACAAAGCATCCTAAAGCAAGGACACAGAGGCTTTGCTTTTTCCCCCCCATATATTATGTCTCCAAAGGGCTTTATGGACTTTTTAATATTTTACACAAAACAATGTGTGAACAGAATGTTAAGTCTGTAAGATGAGTTAATCATCAGAAGACAATTATGTTAAGATTATTGGTCTTGACTCTACCAAGGGTTGCCTCTGAGGTATGATATGATTTTAGTTTATAGGTGCTTGTGTCTTTTTGTTCCTGTTAATCCTTTTCCCATGCAGTGTGATGTGTGGAGTGTGCTCAGAAAGTGAAAGAGCAATTCAGAAGGTAGCCTTCTCTCCATTGTTCAGTGTGTCCACTCCACACCTCATGTACTTTAGTGTCCGCTACCTTCCACAGTGACTGGTGCAGCATCCAGCAGTTCTGGCATGGGAAGAGAAATTACTGATTTTTTTTTTTTTGGTCTTTTTTTCTTTATTTTGGTAGAAACTTTTCATGTTTTGTTGCTCTCATGATTGTTAATGTTATAAGCTGTAGGTGTTTGATGTCCATTAATTTGGTATTTGTTTTTCAGTATGTCCTGTCTGTCCTGAAATTTACCTACCCTACCCTTTTTCAAGGGTAAGTACCATTTTAAGAATACAGTTCTTTAAATAATTACTTTAATCAGTAAATGTCTTACTGTTCTTGCTCAAACTAACTTTAGTACCTCTTATCATTACTAGCTTTTGCTGTCTAAAGAACATACTTCATGAAGCCTTAGTAAAGTATTCATTAATTTGTCTTGGTTAATTTTTAAACGTCATGGTGGTGACGTAATTAAGATATATAGACTACATCACTTCTCATTTTTCTGAAACTCTTATGCTTCAGCATAGAAAAGTTGCAAATACAGTACAGCCAAGGTCACTCATGGAAATGTGCAGTTGTGGTATATCCTTTCGTTATGCTAATTAAAAAGCAACCTTAAACCCATCTTTAGGCATACACAAATACCATGTGGCTTATTTTCATGCTTAGCTTTGTTATAATTCTGCATCACAAGTCACTATCATATCTTAATGATTATAATGAGAAATGTAATGTTTTGTCAAGTATCCATATATACCATCAGAGTTGTTAATAATTTTGAATTTATCGAAAACCTGACCTCATAGAGTCAAGACTTTCCCCATTTGTTCTTTTGAGATAATGATAAAATCTGTAGACACTGGATATCTTTAATTCCTTTACTGCTGCTTAGCACAGCTTAGATTTTTGCCTGACTTACAGGCATAGGACTGTGATCAGCTCTAGGAATAATTGCCTTGGGAATCTCCTTTTTTTTTTTTTTTTTGAGTGTACTCATCTGTATTAAATATGCAACGAATGCTTTCTTCAGTTCTGACACACACAGAGACTGCCTCTTGGACAAGGCTTTTATCATATGGGGGAAGGTTTTTAAGTAATGTATGTAAAATACAAGTGTGGTAAATCAGCAGTAAAAAAAGCATATTTCAATGGCAGGCAACTGTCTTATGGTATCTGCATTACCAGTTATTTCTTTTTCTATTATTTGGAAATGCATCTCAGCATCTTAATATTTTTTCTGTAAGTTCTGGCTTTTAAAGGTGACCTTTCCTTGATAATTATTAAGTGGCTCAGATGCTCTTTCATTTAGAGCTATGACAGATGAGCAAAGGAGGAAAAGCGTGTTATTCTCAGTTCATGCTGTTATTGTTTGTTGTCATTGTTTATGTTCCCTATATAATCTAAGACTATATTGCATAGTGCTAAGGACCTGGAGCTGTTACTAACTTCTGTCCTTAAAACCTGAGACAAGAGGAAATACTTCACAATAAAGTTGATGGGAATTCATCACTGGCTTGGAATAGAGCACGGTCAAGCCTGCAGCAAACATCAGGGATACCTGGCTTTTAAGCTCTCATATGCTCATTTAAAAAAGGTGAAGTGAGCTGTGATAGTAGCATTGAACGTTCATCATACCCATGTGGACAATGAGCTCACTTTTCTCTGATACTGTCCAACTGTATAATACTACGTAGAGTGAATATTTCTTTATTTGCGTATGCGTGAGATTTTAAATAATTTCTTAAATGCATTGCAATGAATGGGAACAATAAATCACCTCTATACCTGTTACAGATGTTAATGTGATTTAACACTGTAGTACAGTATCTCTATCTGAACTATGCTAGATGTTCAAAGATTTTCACCCAAGAAACATGAAACACCTCTCTGAAAACCACTAGCTTAAGGAAGAAAGAAGCTAATCACATATTTTAAAGCTTTAAAAAAAAATTGTCTATCATTACTAATTTTAAGTTATCTGCAAGCATTTCTAAGGCTTCACATACTATTTCCATAATAGACTAAGGAACGCCTTTATGGTAGGATAAGTCATTAGATAGTTAAGTCAGTGCAGAATGTATGTAATTGTAACATACCTTTTCAATGAGAAAACCACAGTATTGTGGTTTGTATGCAAGGGTACCTGGCTGTAAAGATGTTTTCTCTAGAGGCTCTGAATCAGAGGCTCATACAGCATAAAGATATTATTGTTGATGACACTTCACTTGGTGCTTGCTGCACAAGAAGGGAGGGCCGCGGGAAGCAGTCTGAGTTTGAGGGAGCTTGTAAACTAAGCTCAGCATGAATAAACATGGGAAGTCACAGAGCTAATGTTTGAAACTACTAGGACTACACACGTCATCCTTGGGGCCTATTTCTTCAGCTGAAGCGAGTCTTTGAATTCTGAAATCATGTTTATTTGTTCTAACAATAACAGTTTATGTATGAAAAGATATTAATCTCTTGTCGCAAACCTTGCCTCACTTGCATTTTCAGATCATCAGAGCTGTAGCATTGCTATTATTATTGTAAGCCTTGTTGGGAAGAGATGATAAAATGAGGATTCAATAACATGACTAAGGTAATTGTGGTAGATGGTAATTCACAAAACATATGAAACGGAAGGTTTAGAAAACTTGGAGAAAATAAAGGCCCATAAAAATGAAAGTTTCAAAGAGGAATAGTGGCATCCCTGGAAACCTAGCGAAATGGTAGATAACTAGAGTTGTGGGTGTGCTGTGAGAAATTTTGTGGATTCTAAGGTCATGCTCCACGTGGTTAAAAAGGAAGAACAATTCACAGGTGCTGTTTTGTTTCTCTTTCAGGTGGCAGACATTAGTGGGTGCACTTCTGCTTCATGTCTCCTGGAGGCTGGGTTGGGTGGAGATAAACTTGTGTTCAAGGTACTGTGGGGGTTTCAGTGTTTGCTAAATACTTATCTTCTGTAGCTGGGTTATGACATAGTTAAGTTGGCTGTGGAAGTTACTAACTTGGTAAAATATAAGTTGGGGGGTGTGTGTGTGTGTTTGTATGTGTTCTGCTTCACAGGTGTAGGAGAGATCTTGTGTTTTAGTGTAGTGAATGTTCAGTGACACACACTTCCAACCGATTACTAATATGAAGTGGATTCAATTTAACCTTGGTAAGACAATCAAAAAAGCATAGCCATTAGTGAAAACTATAAGGATAACTTATCCAACCATCTGTCCACATCTCTTCCCTGGATTATTTTACAGTATTATAAGAGAAACCTTGGTAACGTTACTTAAGCGCATTGACACGTGCTTCCACAAAACCTCAGTACAGCAAAATCCACAAATGTGATCTGCCTTTGTCTCTAAGAAGTGTGTCCCATAAATGGGAATCTTTCACCCTTGCCTAACTCTAGCATTTATAACTGCACCAGGAGAGCAGCCATTGCAGTACAGGATTGATATAATAATCAAACTCCAAATTAAAAGGTGCTTTGTCAACAAAGATCATCTGCTTGAACTGAGTGTGACAGCAACTCAGAGGAGTTGTCTAGCATACTGTACTCTGCTCAGGTGGATCCATTCTACGGTATGGAATGTGGCATATATTTTTTTTATTTCGCAAAATGTTGTGATTTAGAAGATGTATGCCCACGGCAATTGCTGAATCTCCATCTGTGGAGATACTCAGAACTTTACTGGACAATGTCCTGAGAAATGTGACTTGACTCTGATGCTGGGGCTTTTTGGACTAGATGGCTGCCAGAGTTCCCTTCTAATGTAACTTTTTTCAGTGATTCTGTATTAGCAAGTTACAGCTGATGAATTTTCTGTTTAGGATTCAAACAGTTGTTTTGCAAAACTGAATCTCCTCATTTGGAACGAAATCCTGTGTGTATGTCAGAAGAATCAGGCTAAGTTCAGTTTTCATGTCCACGCAAGTGACTACATCACCACTGAAACCTAAATGCAGTTGTAAGTGGAAACAGAATTTAACTTCCTATCTTTTATCTGCAGAGCAGATAAAATGAGGATATTGGTGTAAAAGCTGTCAATGATGTGGGTAGAAGCAGCATTAGGGTCCAAACCTTGCTTTAGTGGCAGTTACTGATACATATATTACTATCAAATGCATATTGTTCAGGCAAACTTTGTCTTCACAGAACAGTTTAAAGGACAAAGGAATATAGCCATCAGTAATGTCCTTTTAGTTCAACCTTTCATCACTAGATGATTACTTTTGCTTTAAATTGTGAAATTAAAAAAGTTGAATTTTTTTTCAAGATTGGAAAATATATTTTCATTTTTTCAAAACTTGGAAGACATTAAATAAAATATGGACAAGAACCATTTTCTGCTGTTGAAGAGGATATTTTTATCTAAGAAAGGTTTTGGTGAGAAATTGGTTTGTGTTTTGATGATGGAGACTTCACGCCACTAGATGTCAGCACACTATAGGAAATAATATAGGGATTAAAAATACGTCTTGAGAAACCTCTTTATTAGTTTATCTAACACAGAATGCCTGCTCTAGAATAAACCAAATTAAATGACCTGAATTAATGGATATGTTTTGACTATAATTCAGCCAACTACTTAAGCATGAGTTTAAATCTTTCTTCAGAAGAATTAGGCACGTGCTTTAATGCTTTGCTGAACTAGACTTGTAGCATGTATCTCCTGTATTTAAAAAAAACAAACAAAACCACACCAAAACCAAAAACCAACCACCCCCCAAAAAACTAACCAAACAAAAAACTCTCCACAAGAAGTGGCAGACATTATGTAGACAAACAAACATAATGTCTACCACTTCTTCTCAAGTTCCTTCCCCCTCCAAAGGTGAGGACATTTCCACCCCGCCTTACAGAATCGTGGTCTCTGAATCTATCTGGGATTTTTTTGTGGGTTTTTTGGTGTATGTATAGGATACTTAAGAATACCATATCTAGTCCCCAGTTTTGTCGTGCTTCAAATAATAAGCTGCTACCCATTTGTTTGTTTATTTCCACAAAGTCTCGGTATTTCTTTCATGTGGACTGATGTCATGTGCTGTTGGAGCCAGTTCAGGTTATCCCAGAGTGTCTCAGCAGCATTTATTTATTACAGAGATACCATCACACTTTGTCTAAAGTCAGAAATGCTAGCTTCACAATAAAGACCAAATAAAAACATACTACTTAGAGTAGTTTCTCTTGGGTTTTGTGGATATCCTGCTTTTCATCTGCTTCCCCCCGGTACTCCCAGCTCTAAGGGACTCTGTCACTGATATTGTTGTTTTTAAAAGGTGAATGGTGACTGTCTGCAAAACCTGTATCCAAAGCAAGGGCTCTGTGGAGCGCCGAGGAATATGTGTAGCATCTGTATAATGCTTCCAGCACTGCCACCCAGGTTCCGCCTAACCCTTGTAGGCACTTAAGTCCTACGTGTTCTGGTTGGCATTTCTTGTAGTGTTGAATTTTCCCCACAGCTAAGCAGCAGTTCAGAGCCTTAAACCAAAGCTCCTAAGTGTGGTTTAGGGGAAGTTACCTATTGACTTTAGTGGGCTTTGGATCTAGCTCTACAACTACAAGCTCATCAGTTCTTCGTGTCACTGAGCTTTCCTGTTTTGCATGTACATCACTGTATTGCCAACATAAGAAGCGACTAATTGGTTTACATACAAGACAGATTGTTGGTGCTGACACGTTACATCAAACATCCATGCATTCTTTTTCAGTCCTGAAATTCTCACTTGGCAGCATAAAATTCTATGCTTCCATCATGGAAAAAGCATCTGAAATCCTTTTCCATTGCACTTCACAGCACCGCACTGGAGACGAACATTCCTAGAATTTAGTGGTGGGGAACATGAAAGAGTCTTATGCTCTAAATGAAAATTCAGTTTTCATCGTGTGTTCCTTTCATCTTCCCAGCTTTCCATTCTTTTCTTCCCTCTCTCTTTCTTCCATTTGTTGCAGTTCCAGTAGGGTGGCGGTATTTTTGTTGGTATCCAAGGTTATTAACTTCCAGTGTTCCTTAAACGGAACAGTGTTTTTATAAAAAATGATGGTCACTACCCCAAAAAACAGAGCAAATATTTATGCCAATGAAAGGATCCCCATTACCCTGGGTTTTTGATCAAGTATCTTAGAGAATTATGTATAGAAATGTTGTGGTTTAACCCAGCAGGCAGCTGAAACTACGACGCAGCAGTTCACTTGCTCCCCCTCACACCTTCAACCAGTGGGATGGGGAAGAGAATAAAAAAACAGTAAAACTCCTGGGTTAAGATAAAAACAGTTTAATAGGACAGAAAAGGAAGATGGTGATGATGATGATGATGATCATCATATGCAAAACAAGTGATGTACAGCACAACTGCTCACCACCTGCTCACCGATGCCCAGTTAGTTCCTGAGCCACGGTGCCTGCAGACTAGCCTCCCCCCAGTTATATACAAAGCATGACATCATATGATGTGGAATATCCCTTTGGCCAGTCTGGGTCAGCTGTCCTGGCTGTTTCCCGTCCCAGCTTCTTGGGCACCCCCCACCTTCTCATTGGCAGGGCGGTATGAGAAGCTGAGAAGTCCTTGACTGTTCAGCAACAACTAAAACCATCAATGCATTATGAACATTGTTCTCATCCTAAATCCAAAATACAGCACTGTACCAGCTGCTAGGAAGAAAATTAACTCTATCCCAGCCGAAACCGGGACAAAACACAAAGGAAACATGATGTTTAGGGTTTTTTCCTTGTCTGGGTTTACATGAATCTTTGGGCATGTTTTATCTTCATTCAGACTGTTCTGATTTCATCATTGAGTGGTCTATTTTTCTTGTGTTCCATGAAGCGTGGTAGTGTAGCAGTACCTATAATTACGTTTTAACTCTTACATGCTTAGTTGGATCTGTAATCCAAATTAAGGGACTGCAAGCAGTTTAGTTTTGTTTTGAGAACCAGCATTATTCACTAGCATTTTCTTGACTTTAGTTCAAAGCTTGGGAAGAGTGAATGGGGGTAGCAGTGTCTTCAGTCCTGGGAAGTCTTTGGATCAGGCCTTTAGATCACTGCTACTCCTTTCCTTCCTTGCTCAAAATCTCATGTTATTTTCTCTGAAATTTACCGCCTACCTGATCCCTTTTTCCCCTCAAGTACCAAGATTAAAAAGAAAAAATGCAAATTCTGAAGCCCCTTCTCAGAACTGAAACCTGACCCTACTGGAATAACCATGGCTAAAAAAAAATATTAGATCAATCTGTGATGACTTCATTCCTCCATTAGTTGTCAAACTGCCTCTAGGAGTTTGACTTAGTTAAAGGAGTATCATTAGGAAATCTCAAGAGACAAGGCTCCCACAGAGACAATCTGATCTTTAGGAAGAATCGCTTTGTAAATCTGGCTGAGAAATTAATGTGTGGGTGGGCAAGTGTATTTGTACGTAGTGAAAATGTGTGCTATCTGTGCAAGTACGCCATTTTATGCCTGCATTTGTCAGATTTTCTTCCTTTTACAGTGCATCAAGGAAATTAGTTGAAATTTCTCTCCCTTAAAACCAATAGGAGTAATTGCTATGAAACAAACAAGTTTGCAGGGAGAGGAGCCAGGGAAGGTAAAAGAGAGAAAATATATCTGCAGATAGCTCCTATCTGGGATTAGACAAAGTGATTAATTACTGTCTCAGACTTCTTTACTACATGGGACAAATACTGAACAATCAGAGAATGAATTTAATGTGCACACCTTTGAAATATATGTGCATATATACGTATTACTATATTCCTTGCAAGCAACTGTTGCTGACTGTATGTAAACACAATGTGGTGAAGTAATGGGATTTTAATTGTTTTCACAGGTCTGAAATCCTGTCATGGCTTCCTGCTTCCGTACTGTTTGTTGGCATTATTTATGCTGGCTCTAGGGCACTCTCTAGATTGGTAAGGAATGTGCAAGTAGAAGTCGGTTCTTTATTACCTCTACTTTACGAGCAAAGACCATTCCCGTCATACAAGGTGTTTAATGCTGTTCCTGGGTTGGGAGGAAAGAAGGGAGGAGGGGTTTAAATAATATGTACATTGTTGGTGGTGCTAGAGCAGCAATCCCATCCTAGGAAGCATTGAGCAGTACCAAAGAGCACTTCTGTGACAGTCCAAAGCACTCAGCATCTCTCCAGGGCACTCAGTGTTTTGCAGAACAGATCCTCAGTCATCTGAATTGAGCAAACAGGGAAGAAGCTGAAGAAGTTGCTAGCTGTGACTTTGCAAAAGCGGGAATGGGGCTGTGAGATCTGTGGGACATCCTTCCAGGAGAAGGATGAAGACGGTTTCAGTGAGAGGCTTTTGATGCTTTACAGGATTTGAAAAAATAAATTGAAAGTTGGAAAGAGATTATGGAAGAGTTAGATTAATCAGTTTTACGATCCATTTGAATTACAATAACCTACCAAATGTTTAAAGGATATCAAATCTGCTGTCATTAAAGCTGAATGCTTTTTACTTTAATGATATAGTCTTTCTTAAAAAAAAAACCAAAACAAACAGCGGTGACATGAATTTTTAAAACCAGCAATGTTTTGCTGCTGTTATGCAGTCTGCAAGGCCATACACTGCACTAGTTCCCTTCTGCATTCTGTCAATGCATCTTAATCCAGAGCCAGCTCCCTCCTGCCAGCTCCTAAATGCCAAGAACGATCGAAAGGGAATTTTGGACAAGATTCTGCTTGTAGTGATCCCTTGAACATCCCAGTGGAGAGGCAGGGCAGAAGAGGATAGGAAGTCTCTGTCCTCACAAACATGGCTGGGGGCCTCATCTGGGACCCAAGTGACCTTTGGAAGGCACAGGCCTGTGCTCAGAAGCCCCATGCCTCCAGATTAGCTCTGTCTTGGGGTGATTGCATTTACTTCCTCTTGGTTCCTCATCAAAGCGAGTCCCATTGGGCTTCCCTGGTGTAAACTGAGCAAAGATCTCCAAGGAGAGCCCTGTCTGAAAACAGCAGTAAAGCATGGCAGCAGCATCTTTTCTGTCTGCTCACCTGGGAGGTGGAGGAGGTATGAATCACATCCTCTCTGCTATTTCTTCTTATTTCCCAGTCATCCCGTAAGTTACCTTGTCTCTCCTCTGTCCCTGCCCTGGCCATTCAGAGTGAGATGCGCTGGAGTGGCAGAGGGGCTGTGAATGGTTTTGATTTGTGTCCCAAACCTTTCTTAAGGAGCATCTCCCATTTCTGCATGGCTTTTTGTTGTACATGGGGATTTAAAGGCCTATTTCTGTGGGCATTTTGGAGGCAAAACAAAAAGACAAGTAGTCTTAGGCCATAGTTACTATGCAATGCCTTGTACTGGGGCTAAATTCAATCCTAGAATTGAATTCAATCCTAGAATAGAAGCTTTACTTACAGTAACTTTGTGTACAACAATTTTATGACATAGTGAGAAGGAAAATGGACTCTCCCAAACTCGTACCTAAACTGGATCACCTCAGCAGTGTATTTGAATTAAATGGATTTATTCCTAAAGCAGAAATTACGTGCACTTTTTTGATGAAAGCCAGGGAGACCCACTTTCAAACACTCCTGTATACTGGCAGGGCTACAATCTTAATCTCTGTGCCTCTCCCTAGAGGTGCTGGCAGTCTCCCCTGCCCAGGAGTTCAGGGCTGGAACTGGAGGAGGGCTGCTTAGCTCTGGACTGTGATGCATTAACAAAAGTATGCGGAGCTGTGAGGGGAGGTTTGTACAGAGTCTATTCACCCTGCCTGCCCAACCAGCAAACCTTTCTGTTCGTAAGCTTTAAGCCCACTCACAAATCTAAGAAATAGTCACATCAAAGACAATAGACATATGGAGAAGGTTAACTGGGCTAGGCAAACTGGAGCCATTGTTGGCTCCAAAACACATTTGGACGAGCCAAAAGCAAGGGGGAGGAAACAAAAACCCAATAAATTGGCTTCATAAAAGGAAGAATGTAAATTCTGCTGTCAGCTTTCCTTGTGTATGGTTATTTCTTGTATTTCCTATTATTGTGTCAAGCTCAGGATGCTTATGTTTGACACTTCTGGTTTTATGTTCTCAGTTGTCCAGCAACAGGGTTGAGAATTGGTTTTCAGAATCAGTGAAGCTGGGGCTGACAACTTCATGCCAGTTGTGTTTGTGTGCTTTTCATTCCTTGCTTGTTTAGAGGTATTAAAAGTTATCTTGGTGTAACTGTTGTGTTTATGGATCCCCACAAGTTGTCATTATGACTTAAAATATTTAATTAGCAATGCTTATCCAGCTTTATGTGAATGAAAAGAAAAATCCAGAAAAATACAGATTTCTGAGTACGAAGTCAAACTTAAGAGATATTTGCTGCTTATATCACCTGATACTTAAAAGGCACGGACATCACTGAGGAATTAACTCATTCTCTACTCGTGTGATTTAAATACTGTACATAAGTGGGGAAATACTGCTTCCTAAAACTGCCTTACTCTTTAGATTATCTTAATTGGAGCAGAGAATTGCTTCTGTTTCAACTGTCTGAGAGACCATGGATCTGATTTGGAGGAAGAATTATGAACCACTAATTCTGGATGAGTTTGCCTGGGGCAATGGGTGTTTGATTCATTATTGTTATCACTGGGGTTTGTTTCTTAATGATTTCATGTTGGGATGGTGTCCAGATACCTCAATGGGTATAATTTCAACATCACTCGTGTATGAACTATTACATTTCTACCCTTATTTTGGGCAGCTCTTCCTAGCAGTAACTGAAAGCAATCACCTAAAATCATCTTGCCCATAATTCTGTTGCTAGGAGTCACACTGTATTCTTAGTTCCAGTAGACAGAGCTGGAAAGACTACTGAGAACTGTTTACTGTGGAGGCTGCAGATATTTGAACAGAGAGGCAAAACTAGAGGCAGAAACCTGGAGCAAATCTCACCGAGGTAGCTGTGTACAACCAAAGCAACTGAGCGCTCGAAATTGGGAGAAGCAGCAAGCAGGGTCTGCATTTAAAGATGCCTGTGCCATGTAATAGTGATTGGAATGGGTCTAAGTCCCTTTTAGGAGATGTGGCATGGGTTTACAGCTTAAAAAACAGAACAAAAACCACAACCACAAACATGTGGGACAGCTGTTCCTAAGAGGAATGCCCCTTTCCTATGTGTGTGACTGTTCTGGGTTGATTTGGGCATTTTTGTTCTCTCCCAATGGCAGCCGATCCCAGTGTTCCTCACCGTGCACAATGCGGCAGAAGTTATAACCTGTGGGTTCCAGAAGTTTGTGCAGAAAGAGGTAATTGATCTGTTAATTGATATATTCAAGGTACCTCCTGTGATATAATTGCCCCGTAACAAGACACCTAATTTATTTTAATACGAGCATTACTGCCATGTGCTTTTCTAGTCTCGCTGTGATAGCTAGTCATTAATGACACCCAGAGAGAGCTTTCCTGTTGACAAGTATCTATATTGATGTTTTCTTTTCCGCTGTAGTTGATGAAACACTGCAAACGTGTATCGACAGTTTGATCTGCATTTTTAAGACTGGCTTGGTCCTATTTGTTTTTCCTTTTGAAAATGAGTATCACCTCTCTCTCATGCCACACGTAAGATTCTCATTGTTTGAGCTGAGAGGGAGGAGGACTGGGTCCTTAGATCTAACTACTATAATACATCTAGTATCTGATGTATTGCATGATTACAGATAGATCACATCTCCACATGAAATGCAGGAAAAGCAGTGGATTTTTGGATTTGTTTTGAATGCTCGAGAATCTGTCCCAAGATCTATTAAAGTCAGGAAAGTAATTTAGTAAGAGCTCACACAACTACAAGTCCTTACAAACTACATTGGGAATCCTCCTTTTTAGGCCATGAAATGCTTTTCTAATTGACCAGAGAGCTGCTGTGTGAGGTAATGCTGGGAAATAATTTATCACAAAGTTGTTTCTACAGCGGCCCCTGGCTTGCTGTGGAAGTGATCTTCCATTCATTGCCTCTGTGTATATATAGAAGACAAATAAATAGCCCATGTTTGCTACTCCTAACACACTGAAGAGGTCACTAAGGTTATGCCTAAGGAACATAGCAGTGTGTACCATGGTGTGTTCCTTGTTGCATTGTCCTCTGATTAGTGTCCCTCTCAAAGTGTTTCATATTTTCCTTCTAGCGCAGACATTTATGTCTCCTCTGTTGGAAAACAAAAGCACTGTGAACAAGGATAATGCAAACACAGGTCTTGCTGGGAAGCTTCTAGAGAGTAATTTTGGACCAAAGGATTGGGAAACTCTCCTGAGTTTAGACCAAGACTGATTTGGCTGGACTAGTACCTAATTAATTAAGAATACTCAACTATTACATAGTTTTGGTATAGACCAGGTATAAAGTTCATCTCTGGTTTTAGGTTTACCTGCTGGTACGTAATCTGAAAATATAAATCAAGTTGAAGTAGACTGATCTGTAGGCCTGGTTCTTTTTTTCATATTAAATTTGCTAAGCAGTGCTCAAACATAATGGGCTGTTCAATGTCACTCACTGGATTTTTAATGTGTTTGGTGTAGTAAGATCAGTTGTCATCACTTTCCTGTTTTTGGAAGGAGAAAGCTCTGTTTCACCATTTTTATTTTTAAATTTTAATTTTTTTAATCATACTTTCTTTTTTACAGCAGACCTCTCATCTGAAAGTCTGTAGGTAAGCTTTTAAAACTGCTCAGATTCAGATTCAGACTTGTTTTGGCTCCAGCTTCTGTATTTGCTTTAGATAATGGCACACCAAAACAATGAAGAATGTAAGGCACATTCCTGTGGGTGGTGAGCCTAAATTGCAACATAGGAGTAATTAAATATTTTTAAAATGTTGTGGGTTATTTTTTTTTTAACAAGTGCTTAAATAGAGACACTTTTTTCTCCTTATAAAAATAAAAAAAGCCAGAAAGCCAGTCTTCCTGAATAACAAAGCAGTGCTTATAAGTATGTTTTTGGAAAGGAGATAGAAATCAGATTTGAAGTTCCTGTGGGTAATTTTAAACAGTAAGAGAAAGATAATTAATGTGATAGAAAATAGCTAAAAATGCCTTTCCTAAGAAAGAAAAGGTGAGTGATATCCAGTTCTCCTGGAATCGTTCATATTAAGCCACACAACCTACCAACCCTCGTTGGCCCTAGTTGTTTAGGCTTCAAAAAGGAGATAGAAAGGGACAAGCAGAAGTCAGCCAGTCATGTATTAAAAGTTTCATTCTCTCCCCCCCTCATCCCTTTGATGAATGCATATTTGCTGTCCTCCACATTGTGTAATCTTTTAGCTGTACTTAGAGTGGATAATGTTGGGTGGTTATTTAGTGTACTTAGAGGCACCATCTTCCTAATTTCTTCCTGTTGTTTCCATTATCTGACTTGCTGTGGCCTTGTTTGCACCACTGGATTATTTTCAAGGATACCAGGGTTTTTATCATCTTTATTCTGTCTTTTTCTATGCCTCTAGAGAGCAGGAAAATTAGCTGCAAAAGCAAATGTTTGTTATTATTAATAGTGACAGGCCACAGAAATTTCACATCAGTGTATTCAGCGTAGCCTGTAGAAATACTGACTCAGCCACAGGTTAAGAATTCTTTTAGTCCAAATCAATGGACTAGGGGAGGACTTGCACTGTCCTTAAGCCATTTCTAGCGTAATACCACTCACTCCCACTTTGCCTTGTGTTCTGGAGTTACACCTTAACTTTCAATGGAGTCACACTATTGTTGTAATAGGCAATTCACCTTAATGAAAGAACTTTTTGGTAGCCATTCACGGTCAGAAATTGGTTGATTTTGGCTTTCTGAAGCAGCATAGGGAGGCAAGATGGCAAGTGAAGAATAATATTCCCTACCAAAAAACTTGTTTCATCACTGCTGAGATGTTTTGTGCTGCTTCTCTTCTCATGCAACTTTGCTGTGTATGAGTTACGAAGAATGCATGATGTAAAACTTAATGTTGGTGGCAGGAATTGCTTTTTAAATATGGGATAAAAAATAAATGAAATGTCAGTGTAAAATTGAGTGGAATTACTTATACTTTGCTGCGAGTACAAATCCAGCTTTTGGTCTCGTTTGTTGTTTGTTTTTTTTTTTCTTCTCCACAGTGTGCTGTTCCTCCTGGTAGCAGCAGTGTGCCTTCCTCTGTGTGACACACAGGTGAGCTCTGCTTTGTAAAGCAGCTCTAGTTAGACCTTGATCTTTGACATCTTGTTAGCATATGAGGGATGCAGCTTTTACTTGCAAATTGGGGTGGGATTCCTGCAAAGGAATTGTAAATGTTGCCTATTGCTGTGTTGTAGTCTTGCTGGTTTTAATGTGTTGGCATCATGGTAAAACCTCTGAGCAGTGCAGACATACAGCTCTTTGGTGAAGGTCGAGTCTGGGGAATACACGGTTTAACTTCTTATAGGGCTTAGAGCAAATTGCTTAGGTTTGAATTAATTGCACGTACTCTCAGGAGGTTCCTAAAGTAGCTTTGTAATCACTCTACATGCTTTCTGTAGCTGGAGAAAGAAAGGAGGTAGCTCCAGAGAGTGCTCAGTCCAGCAAAGATCCTGTTCCTCGGAGGTGCTTTTCTCTTTTGGAGACTTAGGAAGGCTGCTGCTTTGTTGTAGATACTTTAGTTAATATCTGAAGTCAGTTGGGATGAATCTGGGTACTTGTCTGGATGCATCTGATCAAATGTAGCCATCAGAAGTGTTGCACCTGTGGTAGGTCCCTTCATAGTCCATGGTGCAGAGCAGGAACTTCTGGTGTATAATCCATCTCCCCTGAAAGCAGACATCTAAAATACGCCAGGTGAATTCCTCTCAAAAATGTTTTTTTTTTTTCCCCATTGATTGTGAAGAGAGCTGACCTTGCTCAGAGACAGATGTCTGTTTAAAGCACTCTTTTTGATACTCTGTGTTTAGTTGGAGCCTTGGGGAGAGAGACTGCTTAGCTGCTGCAGGGGCTGAGAGGGGAAAGGAGACAAGGCAAAAACCTTAGTGATGCTCTTCTGATCCTCTTGCCCCTCCCTGCCTGCCAGTGCAAGACTAAACAGACCGGGGTCCTTATGCTCAGATTGTTTAAAGTGGTGTACATCTTTGAAAGAAACAGAGCTATTCTTGCCAAGACTAGCCGACAGCCTGGGTAACGGGCGTATGCCAGGTGTCTAAGCAGGACAGGAAAAACTTCAGTCTTCCTAGTCTTCTTTAGCCATCTTCTCTTTCTTTGTAGCATAGCTCCCACTCACTGTACTTGCTTTGTAAAGCTAACTGCAGGGGAATAGCAATACATATGTTTACATGAACGTGCTTTTATTTATGTAGATGTTCTTCATTGCAGTTTGATCCAAAAGGTTATTTATGGGCTCTAATTCACTTGATCTGTGTAGGTAAGTCATTTTCTTTTTGAAAAAGAATTTGGAAGAGTAAATGTGTTGGGGAAATCAGCTTTATTATGAAGTTACTGATATTTAAGGTTCTTAATGTGAGAATCACTTGGAAAGAATGAAGCAGCTCAGTAAATGTAAGAAAGTGGTTTCCTTTTATAGCTTTTACATTGAAAACAATAACAGAATATACTAGATATTTCAGTCAGTTAACAGGAGATGAGAAAATGCACATACAATTTTAATCAGCACTAAGCTCTTGTGGGAGTTTTTGATGGTTGCCTACTAAGAGACACTTCTTTCCGAGGGGAGAAGAAACATGAAATAAAAAAAAAGCAATAACTTGGAGCTTTATTGCACACACTGATTTTATTTAAAAACTGACAAAAATATTCTAAAATATCATGGAATATGCTCCCAGAGGAAGGATGTTGAAATGTTGGGGGGTTTTATGCAATCATATGCATTTTTTAAAAATTTTAACAATGAGTTGCATAACCTGTCAGGTGTTCTTTTGTCTTTTTCAGACTAAATATTTATTTGGATAAATCATAATTCTTCCCTGAAAAGCTAGAAACAATCAAACCCAAAAAATATGAAGAAAACAAGAGCAGTAATTTTTAAGTAGGAGATTTGTGTCTTTTGGAGCATTAGGCTGGATAATAAGGGACTTTATTTGGTTCTTAGCTGTCCTATAGGCTTAGCGAGTAGACTCATTCATATGTTAAGTCTTGTCTGCAAATTAGGATTGATTCCTTCCTAATTTTGTCTGTTCATACTGTAAAATTTTCAGGGCAGAGGTAATGTGTTTATGTGTATTTGTGTCTAGGGAGGTCTAGAGATCCCATTCTAAAATTTTGTTAATAGACAAATAAGAAATAGTATAATTTTTTTCCTTTAGGAAATGTTATATGGTAAGCATTTGCTTATTTAGATAAAACAAAAAGCTAAGGATTTTTCACTTCATATACTTGTTTGCTGTAACAAGTGATGTTATTGCTTTCTCAAAGTCAGGAGGTCTCATTTGTAAAGCAGTGCGAGGCCATGGAGGTGGAAAACTGCTTAGAGAGTCTTCAGGAGGCCTCTTCTGTGTGCTTGAAACGTGTAGGAAGTGCCAACATAATGTTTACTCTCAAAATAGAGCTTCTTTCCATTTCTCTTGTTTTCGAAAGTTGTTGATAGGACTGTTGGGGTCTTTTTTTGTGTAATTACATTTCCTATCAACTGACACAGAATAAAGATGCTACAAGAAAGGGCAAATAGATGAACTAACTTATTGCACAGTTAATCAAGACAGAGCATTAGAGAAAGGACATGTTTTCTGCCCTTCAGTTTGTCTAATGGGTGCAGAATTGAGGACATCTATTATATAGTGTTCTACTGGATTTGCTTTTCATGTTCTGGTTTTCTTTATGAATCAAAAAAAAGAAAAAAAGAAGCCTTGAATAAAGGGTCTGAAAAAAATAGAGCCTAAAGTTGTATTGTTCCTTCCTTGAGTGCTTAAAGCTCTTCCCAGAATAGAAATGGGAGCTAACCAAGAGGTAGGTAGGTCAAAAATGTAAAGAACCCGGAGACCCTAGAGGTGAGAGAACTCTAAACAGGAAAGACAGTTCAGAGCCAGCAGCTGTAGAGGTCTACATAGATGAAAACACTATAGAAGTTACCCAAAAAATGGGGTGGGCTGAAGAGACCATTCTGCAACACTTTTCTGTATGTATTTACATGTACGTACATACACGCACACACTTTCCTTTGTAGTTGCCGTGAGCTAGGAGTTGTCTGTTCTTCAGAAGGACTAGCAGAAACGCATGGCATGACAGTGCTCTGAGATAACACTTTGAAAACCATTCATTTGAAGCAATGGGTTCATTTTACTCATGGTTTAGGCATCCTTTGTGCCGTGTTGCTAAACTGTAATTTAGAGGGGCTCCATGTCTGCTCGTACCACAACCAAACAAGCTGTCGTTTGTCAGAATGATTGCATGTTATGGTAATTACACATGTCATTTCAATTACAGGGGCTTACAAAGTATTTCACAAGTTATGGAAACCTAGCTCTTTAAGGTAATGTGTTTTCTTATTCTTTTAAAAAGAAAGAGGTTCCTATCAAAGAGGGCTAGAGACACCTGTGCAGCAGTCAGGTAGACTCTAGGGATCTCTGCATTATCAGTCTGAGCTGGGCCACTTGGTTAATCATTAATGACTTCTCTTGCAAGAGGAGACTTATTTAGTGTTGATAACAACAGCATGTGGTTATTGATAGTTATACTGTGAACTCGAACACTGAATTAAACAGCATGTTATCAAAGGATGATGACAGTCCTGGAAAAAGAACCCCTAATTACTGGCACAGGCATTAAGAGGAATTGTTCGTTTGCATTAGCCTTGAAAGCTGCATGGTTTGAATCTGTCAGTATCTGCCTTTGTGACACAGTCTCAAAAGTGTTTAGCAGCTGGTGACTTGCCACAGGACTGGAATGGCTGAGTACCTTAAAAACCTTGAGACCTTGTGCTAATCCCACGTGCATGTTAGAACGTCACCCAGACAGTAGTTGTTTTGAAAGCAGGTGGCATTACATGTTCACAGTGTCTACAATCTGCAGTTGTCTGTATGGATGGAGATGTATGTGTTGCCACTGCAGATTATGTATGTGTACATAATACATGCATGTATAGGATATGGATAGATCCTGTTTAAAGGGTCTAAATTTTAGTTGGTCTCACTTTATCTTCACTTTAAATGAGACTCCCACTGACATAGTAACAACAGAAAGAATGTGCAAATGATGTGTAAATTAATATGCTGATTAATATATTGATAATATTATAATATAGATTATGGTATAATATATATAGTTATAATATAATGTTAGTATTACCTAGCTATAACATTGTGTCATAGATAATATTATGTAATATTACAGTGTTATAATACTACTTAATACACTGATCTCTTATACCAAATGAACTGCATTACTAAAAGAACACCTTTTTTTCTTTCCCTCTTCTCCCAGTGATCTGGACCAACAGTACATCAACTATGTATTCAGGTAAATGACTAAGCCTTTGATACATCATAGCTGGTTTTATGTGGTATATGTTTTCATTTTCAACCATGGCTTGTTTAGGAAACTCATAGCTACTCATAGTATTTATTTAGCAGGACGTAAACTGAAAGAACAGTGCTAAGTTGAATGCAGCTGAATTTTTTTGGCTCTGGTTATAGATGGACATGCCAATATACACCTGGGGAGGTAACGAGGTGTCAATTATGAATTTTTTAATCACCATGTGCACAAGTGATCTATCATTTCCAGAAATAACATTTACAGAGTAACTCCCTAGCAATACCCCACTTCAGAAAATAAAACTTGTACAAAATTGCCAGAAGGGGAGGTAGTGATTACAAAAGTACGATGTGCAAAGAACATGAGCAGTAACTGATTGTTCAGAGTGCCGTTAGTGGGATTGAGTAATTCAGGCTTTCAGTTGTTTTTCTGATTTGGAGATATAAAAGTGGCTTGTTATTTTGTAGTTAGTGAAAGAGCCTGAGTCACTGACCAGACTCACCTGCGTTTTTTAATTTAAAAAAAAAAAAAAAAGTCAGTCCTTTCCTCAAAGAGCCATATAAGCCAGAATATTTGGTGTGCATGGCTTCCGCTAGGTTTTTGTAAGGCTTTATTTGAAGTAAGGTATATAGAGACTTAGTAAATTCTCCTCCATCCACAATCCCATCTTTTATATGTTGACCTCTTTTCTTGTAGTGGTAGCTAAAGTTGTATGGGAAAACTATAGAATATGGATACTAAGTTCTAAGAAAGGATGGTCAAAAGTAATGAAAGAGAGAGCAGAAGTTAGGAATAAGGATAACAAAAGTGAAGATGTGCTTGTCCATTTGATTAGATGGATGTGTGCTCTTGTCTGACCACATTCTAGATCCTTGATAAGAACACATCAGGGACACCGGTGTAGGACAGTTACTTCAATTCCCATTTATCTTGTGAGCATCATCAACATGATAATACTGTGTATCTCTTTCTGTCTTAGTTCAATCAAAACTCCTATTTCCATAAATAAGTAATGCAGGCCTCTGATTTTGCATTTATATGATTCCAGTGTCTGTTCACCAGGGTTCCATGCACTGACAATATCTGAATATCAGTTTGCTTGAAGTAGGCTCTTGTCTAAATCAGTTGATGTTTTCCATCTACTATGAAGTGCGAAGCAAATCAATTTTATTCAAGGTAGTTGTGTTTATTGAAAGTGTTTTGAAGAATTAGTTATGGAACTTGCAAATATCTGCTGTGTGCAGAAATAACCCATGAAGTCTTGAATAAGCTGTAGCTATTTGACAGTGTTGAAGGGAGAATCATGAAATAAGCAGTAAAATCAGTTGATTTTTCATTTGTCACCTGCCTGACTGTGGCTCTCAGTTGTGTTCTTGTTTGAAAACTGCATCTGGGCGTGAACTTTTACATTTGCATTTTGGCTGAAGGTCTTAATTTTGCAGTTTTGATTGAAAAGCCAGGGCTGGGTTCCTGCTGTGTTAGTTGATGGTATCCTTTGAAGTCTGTGAAGTTGCATCCAGCAGAGAGCAGGAGTTACACATTACATGGAAAGTATGATTATTGATTTAGAAACTTATGAAAGGGAGAAACTTCTCACTAAGAAACTGTGTGGTGCAGTGGTATGTATTTTAAAACTGTTGTTTTAAAAAACCAACCAAACAAAAAAACAACAATGGAATTGTGCAAACTGGAAGGTGGCTTTTTTTTAGCATCTGCTTAAAAGCAAAAAATGTGTTATCAAAGTTTGCAAATATTTTCACCATTAAGGGGCTTAAAGGTCAGTGTAGCTTGCGAGATGGTGGTGCAAAGCAATTGCAGGAAAACAGGTGGCTTAGAGGAGGTAGAAGACTGAATGCTTGTTTGTTTGGCTTGGGTCTGTGGATATCTAAGTCTATGTATCTATATATGTATGTATGTCTATATTTATGTGTGTTAGAGAAGCTCACAGTCCATAGCATTTGGACCTCATCTTGTCTAGGGAAAACAAACGGTACCATGGGCAATGGGATAATGATTTCTTTTAGAGTTTTGTTTTGTCACAACAGTGGATGATATTTGAAAGGGTGTGAAATTTGGCAGAAGCTCTCTCCTTGTTTCTGACCTCCATGGCGTGGCACTGCCGTGAAGGTGTCTAATGGGGCTGAAGTCTTTCTGTTGGAGAAGGCACTGGCAGGGTTTGTCTCTTTGAGAGACCCCTGCACATGGTGTTATGTTGGAGATGACTCCCACTTCCCAGATTTGTATGAAGCTAGTCAGCATATTTGAGAGCTATGTAGAGCTATGCATGTATGTGTACACACAGCTTTATTGCACAAGCTTAATTTCTGTAGAAAACAGTCAAAAGTATTTTTAAATCACACCAAGTGGAGGGCGTTTTACTCTGAACATTCTCTGAATGAGTGCTAACTCCTTCCAGGCAGTTTTGGGTCAGAATTGCTGTAAGCGTGTGCTTGTCTCTGTCAGAGTGTGCCCAGCACTAAATTTTGTGATTTAGCAGGCATTAAGGTATACGCTGCTTCCTCTACTCAGGGCTGAGTACTTGAGAACTGTTTTGGTCATGACAGGATCCCAGTTGCACCTCCAGAACGGGACAGTCTAATGCGTACTGGTGGTCTTGTCTCTACAAGCATGATTCTATGATTCTATGATTAATGAAGGAACTTGCTAGTGTGGTATCAGTGCAACTTGCTCCTCTTAGCACTACTATCGATAGGCCTTTATAGCTCCTTATTTCTAACCTAGATCAGACAGCTGGCATGCAGCTGTGCAGGGAAAAGGAAGTTGCTGTGTGGGCACAGCCAGATAGTGTTTAGAATCATAGAATCACAGAATCGGTTAGGTTGGAAAAGACCCTTAAGGTCATCAAGTCCAACCATAAACCTAACACTGCCAAGTCCACCACTGAACCATGTCCCTAAGCACCACATCTACACGTCTTTTAAATACTTCCAGGGATGGTGACTCAACCACTTCCCTGGGCAGCCTGTTCCTGAGCTTGACAACCCTTTTGGTGAAGAATTTTTTCCTAATATATGGGAAAATATGTAGGTTTTTTACAATGGCTGTTGAAAGTGTTTATGTTTGGTATAAAAGCAGAGTTGTACTCTGAGTGTAGAGACTGCCTCTATAGAGCAGTTCTGCCCCAAGCTGCTGGATGTTAGAATGTACCACTATGTTAGATTAAAAAATATATATATATTTAAA